TGCTTTAACTTTACTTATATATTTGGCGACACGTTTGGCTGAGTTTGTAGTGATCCAACTTGCTGTGCCAGCGGTCGCGGGTTCGAGTCCCGCTGGGGGCATTCATTTGTGTGATGGGCACGAATGTTTGTACTCCAGTCATGGCTGTTTATATTTATAATATGTATGTATTTAAAAGTTATATGTGTGTAATGTATCAACTATCTGGTATCCATAACCCAAGCCTCGTAGCTTACCATGTAACTAGATGGTGCTGTGTGTTAATGTCCCAACATATTTATAATTTATAATAATATGCGAAAATATGTTTTGTTACTTTGCGCTTCTTTTACAGCTAACGGAGCAACAAATTAGAGTGTTCCTTTATATAGACAATTTATGGGCAAAAGGGTGCCATAGAGTACTTTTATACTGCTATATCAAGAGGTTTTCATGGGATATTATTATATTATATTACAAAAAGTCACTAGAATTTTTATATAATTCTGAGGAAATTTTCCTTTAACACTTCCCACAAAAAATAAATAAGTCTGGCAAAATAGCAAATACCTACAAGCGAGCCGGTATTAATATTGATTAATTTCAATAAATAGTGAGACGGTTTTTTACTCTCCACACGTTGGTCTATGGGCGTTCCGGATCGTAAGCCAGCTCGATGACCTTTTATTATTTATTTTTGGTCTAATGCATAAAAGGCAGCGTTCTTTGTCGTTTAGTTTATTTTTTATTATTAAATGTCAAAATTTCTTATTTAATGTTATTTTGAAATAGATAAAGAGATGTTCTGCCAATAAAAGTTAGTGCAAAAGTGGAAGTTTCATGTATATATACATATATATATATATATATATATATATATATATATATATATATATATATATATATATATATATATATATATATATATATATATATTATATATATATATATATATATATATATATATATATATATATATATATATATATATATATATATATATATATAAAATAAAGTCGGGTTAGTTACACCATTTATGACTCAAGAACGGCTGTATCGATTTGTATGATCTTCGATTTGTTGGATTTGTCTCCGATCCGAATAGCGGAATAACATCGAAAAAATTCACGAAAATTTTTTTTAAACTTATATGGTTAACGCTGGCTAATAACTATTTATATCTAATTAAAACGTACCTAGGGACGCAATCGAGGGAAGGAAGGGTAAGTCGCTAGTTTAAGATAAGAATGTGTGAACAAAGCTTAGCCAGAAATGTGTTGTTACAAATGGAAAATATATAGAAAAAATTTGAAATAATCGTAGATTCTATCATAATCCTAAAACTATTTACGTATAACTATTCGTATCGTTAATAACATAACGTATAAAATATACATAAAGTCGATTTTTGAATATTAAATTATTATTATTTCTTTATTAGTGATAAAAAAAAATTTTTCTTCTTTATTTATTGTCTTTAATATTATATATAATTATAATTATTATATACTAGCAGAACCCGCGGCTTCGCTCGCGCTAAAACTACAAAAAATCTCTAAAAAGGTAGTTTCATACAAATTTTCATGACCCATTTTTACCCCCTTATAGGATGAATTTTGAAAAACGCTAAAATAGAGATTTAATTAATTTTATTGAAGAGTATATATACCAAGTTTCAAGTAATTCTGATATTAATTTTTTTTTTGGATTGTATCATAACGTGTTTTCCCGTGAGAATTAAGTAATCTCCCGCAATAAAAAGTAGCCTATGTCATTCTGCAGCCCTCCCACTATCTTCACCCAAAAAATCACGCCAATCCGTTACTCCGTTTCGACGTGAAAGAAGGACAAACAAACAAACAAACAAACAAACAAACACACTTTCACATTTATAATATTAGTATGGATATTATTATGCTTTAATAGTATATATTGCTCTAGTTAGTAGAAGTAACTCTACCAAAGTGGATAAGAGTAACATTCAAGAGGTTATTTATTTATTTCGATGCAAGCTGCCGCGATGGTCAAGTAGCTAGCATGTACGGTCATACATCCGGAGCTCCTGGGATCGAGTCTTGGGTCGTGCCAGTTGGGAAGTTGGTGGTGTTCCAACCCCGTGCCTCGGAGAGTACCTACAGCCGTGTGTCCTGCGGCTTAACTTTCAACGTTAGTGTTAGGTTACTCATCTCACCATAGTATGAGAGTGATAGGAATAGACTTGACTAGAATACTTGTGCACTATAATATATAATATCTTCTGTGCAGATGAGATTGGCCGCCGTAGCCGGAATCGGTCGGGATGACATTATCATTATTGACATATATTTCTTCAGAAAAAATGTAAGGTGGATAAACATGCAAATTATTCTAAGCCCATACAATAATAAAAGTCATACAATTTCTAAACAATATGTTTAACTTATAGAATATAAACAAATTATGCGAGACGTCATTTTAAAAATTTGTATCGGGATTGATTTCAAATGATTTATATTCAAGTTAAAACGCTATCGCTTATAGTTGAAATAAAATAATAAGCGCTTCAAATAAAGCGATGGGGCCTCTCAAAGTTTACAATGATATGATGATAGAAGCCGCACTTAATGACATGTATAAGATTTTTATAACGATGTCTGACCAATAATTTAAATATTTAAGATTTGCTTTTATAGTGTCATGATATTTTAATCAACTACGATAAAAGCAAAATATACATATGTACATGCATTCCGAATGAATGTTCTATGGTTGCAGCAGTTACAACTTTATAATACTCATTTTTTCTCATATAAAACCGTAATAAGATTCATCTTTAGAGAAATCGGTAGTTTGATACATTCCTACATGAATAGAACATGCGCAAGCGCAATAATGCGATAAATAAATCAGTAAACAGTGTATTATGAGTAAATGTGGTTATTTTTTGTAACCTATTTGATTGCTGGATTGAAATGAATACTTTTGTTAATGTCTTAATGCAATTAATCGCATGTCTGTGTTGTGAATACCGTTTCGCGCGGTCGCTTCGAGTCGCGGCTTTCGAGCGAAATTGCGGTGAAACTGATAATAACGTACCGCTGCATGCGATGATTTCTAGTACAGTAAGTGAAAAATAACATGATAAAATATTATACTTTGTATGTCCCATATAAAATATAGATCGTGTAAAATATATTATATGTTGGTGTTTTAGCCAATAAGAATATTTTTAATTTTTATATAACATAGACACTTGTGAAAATCTTTTTTAAGTTTGAAAGTTAATGTTAATTAACATGTTAACAAGCCTTTTAAAGTAGAATTTTTAGGACGTAGTATAGTTTATACTGTTGAAATACTTCATGTCAATACTTGCCGTTATATGACCAATTATAGTTTATGATACGTAAAGTATAGAATAGTAATGGGTTCAAAACATTTATCGACCGTTACGTCGCTGTTTCTTGATATATTTATATGAATGCGACATAAATACGAATAATTTATGAAAAAAATATATTGGACAGTTCCGATAGATTTATATTGAAAATAAGAATCACAGTAAAATAATATACTGTGGGTAAATTGAATTTGCGGAAAATATGAAAACTTACATGGATTTAATTTCTTTTCGATATTTATTTATTCGTAATACATGGTTGTCATTTTCGTTAACATTATTTTAAAATATGTTCAAGAAGCAAAAGTTTGTGAACATTATGGTTGTGGTGGCCTTCGGTGGCAAATTAGATTTGTAGGTAATAAGCAGGTATTAAAATAACATAAACACACTACCTTTGACGGAAGGTCTTAATGAGAAAAGTTTGATGCGACTTCCGTTTTGAGTCAAAGTTCTGTCATCACCGCTTACTTCTATGGCTGGGGTGCGACCAGTGCCACATCGGAAATAAGATAAGAATCTCGTTTGAATTATAAACAAAAGTTGATTCTGTTATCGGCTTCCACCGCCCTGTTCGATCTTTGCTACCTTTACTCCACTTCGATTGCTTTCCATATCAAGTTAAAAAGTTTTTATTTCAAAGGTATTTAGAATTTCGTATGAAAAAATAAGATTTATCTCGAAAGAGTTTACTATATGATCGTATAAACAGTTGCTGAACTTATATAAAAGTCTTGCTATTATACAATGTATTTGTGTACGTAAATCTGTTTTGTTTATAATTAGCTATTTATAGACTACTAGCAGCTCATCCTCGGTTCGCTCGTGTTCATCCCTAGGTACGTTCTAACGGTTAGTATGAAATATGGACTATATTTTTATATTTTACACATAGGTATGACGAGTTGTTGTTGGTTGTATTATAACGTGTTTTCCCGTGGGAATCAGACAATCTCCTTTAGTAAAAAGTATTCTATGTCACTCTCCAGTCCACCAACTATCTTCACACAAAAAATTACCCCAATCCGTCACTCCATTTTAACGTGAAAGAAGTACAAACAAACACACTTTCACATAATATTAGTAAGTATTGATATGGGTTATGAAAAGCTGATCTTAACTATGCTAATTACTAAAACAGTGTTGGGAGATCAAATTACTTAAAGTGTACGTGACTAAGTTGTTAATACTCTTGACTTACACTTGTTAAGTTTAAAGTTTTCATTGATAAGGTAAAATCGAAGTTACTTAAGAGAAATAATTTAGAGACATGATGTAGTATTTATATTATTATTTAGTATAATAAAAATAATTTTATTTATTTCCATATATAGATTTCCGGTACCTATAACAATACGACGGCATTCTCCATATGAAAATAGCGATAGTATCTTCATACATTAGTCGTGGAACTGTGTAAGTTGTTATCAGATTTAACGCTCGCAACTTTGTAAGTGTAGTACTTTCGCGAGTAGACTCGAGAAAACTTATCGGTTGAGTGCTAGCAGATAGGCGGGAAAATTCAAGGACTTACCATGTTAGAGAGCAGCAGACGCTGGTGTTTAGCGACTTGGGGGTCAAGTGTTTGGAGCGGGAAGGCGAGTGGTAACGGGAGCGGTAGTGGCAGTGGAAGCGGGTGCGGATGCTGCAGGACCAGTGGTGGACAGCAGGCGCACGGCGTCGCGTAGGACACGCACCCGAGCTGCGGCGGGAACAGCGTGCCGACGGCCTCCTCGAGGCCTCTCCAACGTCTCTCACGACCGCATTCACGGCCGATCCCGAGCTTTCGACGGCTTCTCACCGCCGACTCCTTACCGACCGATTAAGCCCAAACAGACCGAAAAAGTTTTAACGCGGGAACTCGCGTAAAGTTTCGGGACGAGTCGAGTTATGTGAGTCGGGAAGGGGAATACTATCGGAAAGTAATAGTTGGGAAAGCGAAAAACGTCGCGCAGGGCTCGCGAGAGTATGGAGGATGGCGGCGTGCACGGAGCACAAGTCGCCAGGCCGGCGTGTGGCGGTGAACTGAGCGGCGAGGCAGGTGCGCGACGCGGGAGGGCGTAGGGGCGGGCCTACCTGACTCACCTGGGCGCTTGCGCCGCACTCGCTCAGCCTCCACTGCTCTGCATCTCGTGCCAGCTCTACTCTCAGCCGGCTTCGCCGGTGCATGACCGCCGCTATACATCTTCCACGCCGACCCGCTACCGTCGGATAGAACACTAACTTTTTACGGCTCTTATAATTGAATATGTTATACTACTACTTTGTTATTTAATTAGTATGAGATTATTAAGTTTTATAGGTCTGTTAATGAGGTTTTTTTATATTAAAGATAAACTTTTAAGTAGAGCAAAAAATAAACAATATAAATAATTATATTATTGAAATAAAACATGAATCGAGTATAGAGTTTGTTAAATAGGATTAAATCAAAAGAATATCATTATATCACGAGAGATTTTAGATAATAAATGTGAAGCTTCTTACTTTCCTAATACCTGAAAGTCACGTTTATAAGAAACCAGCGAGGGATTATTCTAAGGGTCTGAATTGTATTGATCTTGAAAATCGGACTCGTTAGCGGACATCAGAAGAGACATCCGGCATAAGCTCATTGTACACGCTTTGGAGCATTAAGCACCTTTTAACGTCGCGCACTATTTACTTTTACAATGAAATCATAAAAGGCAGTTTTTAAAATATACTACTGATTACATATTTAATGTTTTTGTATAGTAAAAAAAAGAAAAGTAAATTTGAAATAAATTTATTGTAATATATATAATTATATATCTTAATATTTTCTTTTAGATTTACAGGAATAATTAATTAATAATTAATTATTTTATATGGTTTACAGTAATCATACTTAAGGGAACCAAACATCAAAATAAATACGCGAAAAAAACCGAAAATATAGTTTATTTGAAATTATTAAATAATTATTATAAAAAATATAATTATGAAATTAGATATTATGAACATGTACATTTATTCTGAATCTTTAACCGCGGCTCCTATAGCACGACGTGTGTATGATCGTAACATTACTCTTCTATTCGGCTACATTTTTTTCTATCCACCAGTTAAAGTCTCACGATAATCAATAAGCGGTTCTAAATATTTTTACATTACCAACAGATATACAATTCTATAACCGTCGTTCTAAAGACTTCAAAGTAAGTTTAAGTTTCTTATGTATAGATTTTAAAATAATAGATTTTAAGTAAACAAAAACATAAGAAAAAAATAAAAAATAATATAAATCTGTGCATACTAAATTTCAGAACACAAATCTGATTATATATTCTTTAGGTAATGCTGACGTAGATAACGTTTATCCCGCTATCTAATGAGTAAACTGGAAATGAATTAAATACATTATCTTGGTATATTGATTTAATTTATATATATTACAATATTACAGTTCGTCATCTTAGTGCTTATTTGTTCAAACGACCAATACCTACTAGTTGTACTTTACGGTAGAGATTTTTTCCTCTATTTTAAAAACAAAACTTTATTTCTAAAATTACAAGTAAATTTTTCGGCTTTATCAAAGTAAAATGTGTATTTAATACCAATAGACTTAACATTTAAAAGTCAATAATTCTGCATTTAAAAACTTATTTTGTAAATTTGTCGTTTGAACAAATAAGCACTGAGATGACGAATTATTATAATACATATTATAATTTAATATATCTATGTTAGTTTATATAACTCGATGTTCAAGAAATGAAATCGGAGTACTGCTATACCAAGTATTCAATATTTCTGTGAATTTGGTTATATTACTATTGGGAAGTTTCATTCCATCATTTCGTAGAATTTATAGACCCCATTTCGGGTTGGATTTTATATGTAATATCTTCAAAAGCTGTAGTCGTATCAGATGTATTAAAATCATTGATTAAATGATATAATCATTTTAGTTACTAGAATAGTCTTATGTTACCTGGTCGATCGAATGGAGTTTTGTAAAATCGTGTTTTTTTTCTGAAATTATGTAAAAATTTCATTTTTTTTTCAGAAACTTAATAGATAATTTTAAAAAGCAAAAGCTTATCTAACTACAAAATTTGATCCAAATCATGAGAGCCATTTCCGAGATACACTGAATATTATATACATATAGGTATGTCTAAGAATTGCTCATTTAATATAATATTATAAGAGATATTATGTAGAGTTTTTTCTTTCTTCAACTAAGCGTAAAAATTATGTTTGTGGGTATGAGAGTATCTCATGGGACTTACTAACTTTGGTAACTTTATTCTATTGCAAGTAAAAAGTCACCCTAATGTAAGTTGAAAACAATAAAAATGTTATTGTATTTTTATTGATTTTAAAACAATTTTATTCAAACGCGTAAAAACAAATAAAAAAAAACTATTATAAAATAATTGCTTAAAACACGAAAAACCAAAAAAAAAATAAAATGTCACATACTTCAGAGTATCAACAACATCGAATGAAAAATCATTTGTTAATTAATTATAACAAGTAACGTCAAAATCCGTCATACAGCCTTCGTATATAGGTATTCGTTATTTTGCGATAACTCTTTGCTGTTCTTATATAAAAGTAAAATAAACAATCACACAGCATATACCTATATTTAGATACTAGCGTTACGTTTCAAATGGATATAAATACTTATTAGCCATATAATTTTTTTTTCGTAAATTTTTCATTTTTTTTGTGGACCTTAAGGAACATATGAAAAAATATTTGCCGAATTAGTCCAGCCATTCTTGAGTTATGCGCTTACCAACATTCATTTTTATTTATATAGAATTATAGATTATATTTATTATATGGGATATGTAAGTATATTTACAACATTATATATTCATAATATTATTTTTCATATTGATTGTATTATACACTAGCGACTCACCCTCGGTTCACTCGGGTTCGTCCTTAGTTACATTTTAATGTTTAGCTCAGAGATGAAATATTTTCCCGCAGTAAAAAGTATCCTATATGTTGACCAACCCAGAAAGACGCACCGACAAAAACTCTAAAAATTATAGATTCGGCCTCTGTATCGCTCATAATATCTATTTCAATAAGATTTTCCAAAAAATATTTAATGTACCTACAGATTCGGCTAAGTTAAAATTTTATTATATGTATAGAGTATTATAATAACATACATATACTAACAGATTTTTTCTATTTGTAGCTACTCCTTATTCAGCATCCTTCTTCATTGATAGAAGGGAGCCATTGTGGGTCTAAAAAATCTAACACGCTCGTGGCTTTTATTGAACCGCGGTGTATATGGGAGCTTGTAGAAGAGCGAAATCAAATCAAGCTTTGTTATCTTGTCAAGCCTGTATGTACCTTTAAATCCACTAAGCTAATCGTAATGAAACTTAACTGTCTAAGTTAGGAAAATTCCCATTTAATTGTATCAATGCAACGCTTAATATACCGGTATTCGTGATATTGAATAAGTATTATATTAAACTAGCAGAACCCGCGGCTACGCCCGCGTTTAATCTACAAAAAAAACTCTTTGGCTTTATGTTATCATCCCCTATTTTACCCTCTTAGGGGTTGAATTTTAGAAAACGCTGAAATACGTAAGTCATTATTTTAGCCGTACTCAATTCATACGAAATTTCATGCAAATATGTCAAATTAATAAAAAGTTTCATACAAAGTTTTATCCCCTATTTCACCCCCTTGGGGATGGAATTTTGAAAAAAACTTCTTTACTGGATGCCATCATATGAGGAATACGTGTGCGAAATTTTAATTTTCTAGCCTTAAGGGTTTAGCCTGTGCGTTGATACATCAGTCAATCAATTTTGCCTTTTATATATATTACATATAGATATGCTATTGAGTTTATTAAATAACCAAAATATACCCGTGTGTGTACATTTGGCTTTAGAATATTGTTAAATATTTTAAGAATCTCTTTACTTAAAATTACTACGTTACCTAATAATTTACTTAACTATCAATAAAACATTTAACTTTTATACACGTTATTTATACGATAAGCAGGAAAAAGCGAGTTTTTTATTTAATATGAACATGATGCACATATAACAAAGCGCGTCTTTATTATGGGCATAATATAATAAAATATAAATGAAATAATATAAAATTCTAATACATCAACACTCTCAAAAAGCTTAACTGAAAGTTGGAAATTAATATATTATAGATACAAAACAATAGGTTATTTATTAAATATAAACTTAAGATGTATAAATTTCAAAGGATTAAAGCTATGTTTCATACATAAGTGCCAGGTGTCAACGATACCGGTGGGGCGTCTGTTTTCGATAGTGCTAATTAATTCTTGTCATCAATGTACGCAAGGTAATTACAGGGTGCGGTGGAATACATGTGTTCGATTCCCTTGTCTTATCTACAGTTAGTTTCCTCTACGAGATTAGTGTTTCGAGCTTCGCTGGAGTAGGCTTATTTAGGTACATAGCAATACGTTTGATATATTATAGTTTTACTAGCATTGCCCGCTGCTCCGCCTGCGTTCGATGATCAAAAACCAAATTCTTAGGTTTTACATAGTACTCGTATACTCTTATAATAATGATATTTGATATGATATGATATTTTCCTATATGTTGACCCGGATAGCCAGCTATCATCATACCAAATTTCATCAAAATCTGTCCCGTGGTTTTCTCGTGATGCGGTAACAGACAGACAGACCACAGACAGAAAAAAATTCTAAAAACTATACATTCGGACTCTGTATCGATAATAATGTCTATTTCATTTAGATTTTCCAAAAAATATTTGATGTACAGATTCGGCATAGTTACAATTTTATTATAGATATAGATAACGAGTGATTTACCCTCGCTATGCTTGGATACATCCTTAAGTACGTAGATATAAAGTTGCTACAGTTTAATAGAACTTTTTAGAGAAATAATTCCGTAATATATTGTTTTCATATAGCTCTATTGATTTACGCGTCGCACGCCAGCAAAGCTTCTTGTTGGCATGGTTTTTTTCCGACATTTTCAACAACTTAAACCTGAATTATACACTTAAACCTTCCTCATGTATCAGTGCGTCCATTTGTGAAAACCGTATGAAAATATATTCTGTAGTTTTTGAGTTTAAAGCGTTCAGATACACAGACGCAGCAGAGGTTTTTATTTTATAATATATAGTGATAACTTGAAAAAC